TTGACCTGTCTCAGTTTTTAATGGACCTATCCTTTCCCTAGTCTTAGTACGATATAACTGAAAAAACCCTTTAGGATTTGTCTTTGCTTGCCCTGCTATGCGAACTTCATAGTTCCTTTTTGCTTTCCTTATCTCTTTTTTAACATTTCTAACCAGTTGTACGAATTCCTGTTCTAAAGTGACCTCCCCATTTTTAATCCTTTTGTACCAAGCTCTCTTTTTACCTATAAGGTTCTTCAAATTCTTTGTTATCCACTTTGGGTCATTAGTATACGATCTATTCAATTTGTATGGTATACTACGTTCCTGTGCTTTGTTTAGAATATTCTTAAATAAGTTATATATTGAATCCACATCGAAATCCCCATTTAAGTCACCTATCGCTGGGTTCATGTCTCGCTCCAAGACCGGCCCACACCCCATACCCAAGCCTTTCCAATCAATTTGACCCAAAAAATTTCTTAGGCTATTAAAATCAGCTTTTCGAAAATCTGGCACTTTAACAGAATTTTCTCCTACTGGTCTATTCCATTCTATGCTAAATCTGATTTCTTTGTGATCACTGCTCCCTAGCTCACTCCCTATTTCGATGTCATTAATTTGCGTTTCCCTGTTAGTTAACACTAAATCTAAAATATTATTTTCCCGTGTTGGTTCCTTAATGTGTTGCGTAAGAAAGCAATCGTCAATTAATTCTAGAAAATCTTCTGCTTCACTATTCCCTGTTTTGTTCAACCAGTTTATTCCGCTAAAATTAAAGTCACCCATGACATAAATACTGTTAGATCTAGATGCTCTAGATATTTCATCCCATAGATGCTTTGCTTCCATTCTGTCTAAATTTGGTGGCCTATATATTACTCCTATTATAAAATTATTAGCTTTTTCGTTTAATTCAATCCAAATAGTTTCTGTGTGTGGCTCTGTTTTGATTCCCTCTTTGAGACTACATTTCAAATTGCCCCTAACATATATGGCTACTCCACCTCCTCGTCTAATATATCTATCTGTGTGAAATAGTTTAAATCCATATATTTGATATTCAGCTAATAGTTCTCTATTTTCTACATTCATCCACGTTTCGGTAAGTGCAATAATATCTATTTTTTCTGTGCAGACAAGAGCATTTAATTCGTTAATTTTATTTCTTAGACTTCTACTGTTAGTGTAATATACCCTAAGTGAATTGTTATTTTGCGGACCTTCTCTTTCCCTGATCGTTTTGCCAATTCCTTCCTCCCACAAACACATACTTTTATTACCTCCTTCCTCCAAATCAATTCCCATACCTCTATCTACTAACAGTTTAAACCCAAACAAACACCTCTAACCACTTCTTCTAGCGAGTTCGCAACAGCAACAACCCCAGCTCTCGATAGATGCACCCCATCACGAGCATACATTTCATTTCTTCCATAGAAGTGTTCCCAGTTGTCTATGAAAGATATTGCATTTGATTTGCAATATCTTTCCAGCCGGCAATTGACACCAAGTGCCCTCGATATCCATTCATTTCCCACTCCCTTTCTTGGAAGAATGCCACATATGATCGGGATTCCTCCCTTGCTCCTAACTAACTCTATGGCTGTTTTATACCTCTGAATCAGTTCCTCACTCCTGACTCGACCAACATCATTTCCTCCCACGCTAATGCAAATAATGGGATTGTTCCCATTACCAGCCATAATATCATTCATGTTGTTTATAATATCACCAATGCCAGCTCCGGGATAGCAAACCCTTAACCTGTTCCCCCTATCTCTAGCACAAAACGTTCTATCCAAATACCTTATCTGGGAATCTCCCACAACTAATGTTTGCTTAGGTACTTCCTTTACTTTCTGAGGGGCCTGCGCTTCCTTTCTCTTCGTTGCTTTCCCTTTTGCGCGATCCACAGTCTCTCCACAGCACTCGTCCTCCAAAACGTCAAATGAATTTGAAGTTGCTATGGCGTTTGAAGGCGGCTTTATCAAAGTCTTCTTAAGGCCCCTGTCTTTCGCAACTCTCCAAGACGAGGTCCCTTTACTGCTGGTCTCCTCCTTCGTTACTTCTCGTTGTTTTTTAAGCTGACGCACCTCCTCCCGCAGAGAGTCCAACTCTGTCCTCAGGGCTCACACCAGGTGTCTTGTTACTAACGCTGCGATTAATAAATCCAAGTGTCCGATTTGCCTTATTACGAACATTTATGCATTGATCCTTTTGTTTTAAATTCTTACTAATCATAACTCCCAGATCCCTTTCGCAATCCGACTTCGCAATCACAACACCATCTAGCTCGTATCTTGTAACTCTATCATCATTACCTAACCTCAGAACTTTACATTTATCAGCATTAAACTGCATCTGCCAATCCTTTGACCATTTCAAAACCCTATCTAGATCAACTTGAAGTGATAGTGAGTCCTCCTCCGAATTAATTTCCCTACCGATTTTCGTATCATCGGCAAATTTGCAAATGTTGCTACTCAAACCTGAATCTAAATCATTTATATATATTATAAACAACAGAGGTCCCAGGACAGAGCCTTGAGGCACTCCACTTACAACATTTTCCCACTCTGACTTGATTCCATTTATACTAACTCTCTGTTTCCTTTGGTATAGCCATGCCCTAATCCAGCTTAATACAGCACCCCCAATACCATGAGACTCTATTTTTTTAATCAGTCTTTCATGTGGCACTGTATCAAAAGCTTTGCTAAAGTCAAGGTATACAACATCGCAATCCTTACCACTATCAACTGCCTCAACAATGCTAGAATAAAAAGATAACAAATATAAAGATAGGTTAGGTTAGGTTAGGTAGGGTTGGTTAGGTTCGGTCATATATCTACGTTAATTTTAACTCCAATAAAAAAAAATTGACCTCATACATAATGAAATGGGTAGCTTTATCATTACATAAGAAAAAAATTAGAGAAAATATATTAATTGAGGAAAACTTGGCTTATTAGGCAAATCGGGCCTTGCAAAGTAGGCCAAAAAGTGCGTTCTGGCTACTAGGTACGACATATATATATATATATATATATGGAAATAATGATTAGGAGAGACCTAAACTTAAGACAATGATGAATTAATGTACAAAATAAGATCTGTAGTTATACTTGGTTTCAAAATAATACCTTACAAGTATCCCTTCATGGTGTAGGGAGACGTGACTCAAGTTACGCCCAGGAGTCTCAAAGTTTTGGTCATCACACGACACAGTGAACCCAAATGCTCTTGAAAACCTACAGCTAATTCCGAGAAGTAGTCGCAATAACGCGGCTGACACAGGTAACAGCCCACACACACACACACATGAAAGTGGTGACGTTTAGAAATATCGAGGAACTGAAATTTTATCACGAGAATATTCCACGTAAGAAGAGATTAAATGCACTGAAGTTTAATTATCTTGAAAGGTGCAGAACGAGGCGAGATGGGATTGACGGGTGTAAAATGGATAAAAGGTATTAACAGATGGGATATAAATGTTGTTTTGGAACAATCATCACTTCAAGGTAAACCAGTATAAATGTAAAGTTTAATAAGACAACACTAACGGGAGACATCTCCCGTCACGCAGGGTGCAGTCGCACCTCCACAGATCTCCAGTATCAGCTAATGATGCTGGTAATGGCTCAAAAGGGCCACCACTTACGGGCTATTCATGCCCGTGCCACCTATTGGGTGGCATCAATCAATCAGATAACAGTGGTTCAATAACAGACAACAGATCATCATTATCATACACAAACAAGGTGCTGGGAATTATAAGAATCATCAGCAACAGAAGGAATGCATGAGACTTAGTTCCTAAACCTTTCTCTGTAACCCCTATCCACCCCCGCCCACGGGATGGGTATGGGGTGCATAATAAAGAAATGAATAATCATAATAAATCTCAAGTTACAGCCCCGCTCCTGTGCCAGGTACGGGCTCACCATAGCCGGTGCTACTTGGACCTGTTTGTTCCGAGGAGCTGAATCTAAAACAAGAACAGTGTGTTCAGATGAACAAGGAGAATATAAACATGGGAGCCGGTCGGCCGAGCGGACAGCATGCTGGACTTGTGATCCTGTGGTCTTGGGTTCGATCCCAGGCAAGAAACAATGGGCAGAGTTTCTTTCACCCTATGCCCCTGTTACCTAGCAGTAAATAGGTACCTGGGTGTTAGTCAGCTGTCACGGGCTGCTTCCTGGGGGTGGAGGCCTGGTCGAGGACCGGGCCGCGGGGACACTAAAGCCCCGAAATCATCTCAAGATAACGTCAAGATAACCATGGGTCTGAAATTGTCGGAACAAGCTAGAATCTGTAACAAGGTGGATAAATTATATTTTGGGAAGGCCACATGAAAAGAACAGGTTTGAGAATAGGGTTATAGCTATCTTGAGGTTATCTTGAGATGATTTCGGGGCTTTAGTGTCCCCGCGGCCCGGTCCTCGACCAGGCCTCCACCCCCAGGAAGCAGCCCGTGACAGCTGACTATCACCTAGGTACCTATTTTGCTGCTAGGTAACAGGGTGAGGTGAAAGAAACTCTGCCCATTGTTTCTCGCCGGCGCCTGGGATCGAACCCGTGACCACAGGATCACAAGTCCAGCGTGCTGTCCGCTCGGCCGACTGGCTCCAACAGGGTTGCGAATGAGGGGAAATGGGCTGTTGGCTAGAACTACTGAAATGACACAGTTTAACCGGTTTCAAGACTCACGACTGGAAAGAGGTGAGGGGGGGGGGGGGACTTAAAACGTAATCGCTTAGAGTGAGCCAACATGTGCGCTAACATCCTCTCTAACACTTACCTATGTTTTTTGAGTTATTTTTTTTCACCACAAGAAACAACTACTCAGGCTGACAGATGCAGTCCCCCAGTCTGCCTCACATGTTTACTGGATTAAGCACGTCCGCCACACATGTTTACTGAGGCAAATACACCCACCACACATGTTTACTGAAGTAAGCACACCTACCACACATGTTTACCTAGACAGCCACACCCACCACCCGTCAACTCACCTCCAGACAGGGTCTTGCGAGGAACCAGGCGAACATTAAGACCACCGTCAGAAATGCCAAGATACAGACGGAGATGTCCCAAACATCCATTCCTGTCCTGTGGTGCAGCCTCGCCCTGCTGCTGGTGCTGGTGGTGGTTGAGGCTCCAGTGGTGGGGGCTCCAGTGATAGGGGCTCCAATGGTGGGGGCTCCAGTGGTGGGGGCTCCAGTGGTAGCGGCACCGGTGGTGAGGGCTCCAGTGATAGGGGCACCGGTGGTGAGGGCCGCGACGATAGTGACAACATTCTTGGTGTCTGGTACGAGGATCTCCATGGTGACAGCTCAGGCTGCTGGAAGGTAAAGTCAATTAGACCTTTTTTCCGTCATGTACAGAAGAAGGTGTTGACACTCTCCTTTCTCGATGAGTGATGGCTTCTGTCATCACGTCACTCGCTCTGTCCAGTCTGGGACACCTGAATGACTCACTTATAATAGCCTGACAATTATGTATCATTAAGTGCACTAGGAACAACCCAAGGACAGGTCTAACCTAACAATTAAGAGCACTGTAAACAAACGCATGCCAAGGTCTAAGCTAAGCAAAACAGGTCGAGGTCACCCTCAAGCACAAGCGAGACAACTAAAACTGACCCTAAAGCACCCAAACGAGCGCTCAACCAACCGTCTACACACACTCCTGCTGGCCCACTGATGCTTGTCTCAGAAAGTCAGGTGAATATACTCAGACACAAACATACACACACACACACTTACGGATATCTGTATGGATGTCAGGATGCGCCGAGGCACCACCAGAGGGCGTTATACAATCGCGACTAATCACAGTCCTGTTATAGCCAGTATGTAGTTACTGGTCTGGGCTGGGTGTAGAGATGCTGGGCTGTGAGAGCTGCTGGGTGGTGGTCTAGCTGGGTGGTGGTGTAGCTGGGTGGTGGTGTAGCTGGGTGGTGGTGTAGCTGGGTGGTGGTGTAGCTGGGTGGTGGTGTAGCTGGGTGGTGGTCTAGCTGGGTGGTGGTGTAGCTGGGTGGTGGTGTAGCTGGGTGGTGGTGTAGCTGGGTGGTGGTCTAGCTGGGTGGTGGTGTAGCTGGGTGGTGGTCTAGCTGGGTGGTGGTCTAGCTGGGTGGTGGTGTAGCTGGGTGGTGGTGTAGCTGGGTGGTGGTGTAGCTGGGTGGTGGTGTAGCTGGGTGGTGGTGTAGCTGAGTGGTGGTCTAGCTGGGTGGTGGTGTAGCTGGGTGGTGGTGTAGGTGGGTGGTGGTCTAGCTGGGTGGTGGTGTAGCTGGGTGGTGGTCTAGCTGGGTGGTGGTGTAGCTGGGTGGTGGTGTAGGTGGGTGGTGGTGTAGCTGGGTGGTGGTGTAGCTGGGTGGTGGTGTAGCTGGGTGGTGGTCTAGCTGGGTGGTGGTGTAGCTGGGTGGTGGTCTAGCTGGGTGGTGGTGTAGCTGGGTGGTGGTGTAGCTGGGTGGTGGTCTAGCTGGGTGGTGGTGTAGCTGGGTGGTGGTGTAGCTGGGTGGTGGTCTAGCTGGGTGGTGGTGTAGCTGGGTGGTGGTCTAGCTGGGTGGTGGTCTAGCTGGGTGGTGGTGTAGCTGGGTGGTGGTGTAGCTGGGTGGTGGTCTAGCTGGGTGGTGGTGTAGCTGGGTGGTGGTGTAGCTGGGTGGTGGTGTAGCTGGGTGGTGGTGTAGCTGGGTGGTGGTGTAGCTGGGTGGTGGTGTAGCTGGGTGGTGGTGTAGCTGTGGTGGTGGTGTAGCTGGGTGGTGGTAGCTGGGTGGTGGTGTAGCTGGGTGGTGGTGTAGCTGGGTGGTGGTGTAGCTGGGTGGTGGTGTAGCTGGGTGGTGGTGTAGCTGGTGGTGGTGTAGCTGGGTGGTGGTGTAGCTGGGTGGTGGTGTAGCTGGGTGGTGGTGTAGCTGGGTGGTGGTCTAGCTGGGTGGTGGTGTAGCTGGGTGGTGGTGTAGCTGGGTGGTGGTGTAGCTGGGTGGTGGTGTAGCTGGGTGGTGGTGTAGCTGGGTGGTGGTGTAGCTGGGTGGTGGTCTAGCTGGGTGGTGGTGTAGCTGGGTGGTGGTGTAGCTGGGTGGTGGTGTAGCTGGGTGGTGGTGTAGCTGGGTGGTGGTGTAGCTGGGTGGTGGTGTAGCTGGGTGGTGGTGTAGCTGGGTGGTGGTGTAGCTGGGTGGTGGTGTAGCTGGGTGGTGGTGTAGCTGGGTGGTGGTGTAGCTGGGTGGTGGTGTAGCTGGGTGGTGGTGTAGCTGGGTGGTGGTGTAGCTGGGTGGTGGTGTAGCTGGGTGGTGGTGTAGCTGGGTGGTGGTGTAGCTGGGTGGTGGTGTAGCTGGGTGGTGGTGTAGCTGGGTGGTGGTGTAGCTGGGTGGTGGTGTAGCTGGGTGGTGGTGTAGCTGGGTGGTGGGTAGCTGGGTGGTGGTGTAGCTGGGTGGTGGTGTAGCTGGGTGGTGGTGTAGCTGGGTGGTGGTGTAGCTGGGTGGTGGTGTAGCTGGGTGGTGGTGTAGCTGGGTGGTGGTGTAGCTGGGTGGTGGTCTAGCTAGGTGGGTGGTGGTGTAGCTGGGTGGTGGTGTAGCTGGGTGGTGGTGTAGCTGGGTGGTGGTGTAGCTGGGTGGTGGTGTAGCTGGGTGGTGGTGTAGCTGGGTGGTGGTGGGTGGGTGTAGCTAGGGTGGTGGTGTAGCTGGGTGGTGGTGTAGCTGGGTGGTGGTGTAGCTGGGTGGTGGTGTAGCTGGGTGGTGGTGTAGCTGGGTGGTGGGCTGGGTGGTGGTGTAGCTGGGTGGTGGTGTAGCTGGGTGGTGGTGTAGCTGGGTGGTGGTGTAGCTGGGTGGTGGTGTAGCTGGGTGGTGGTGTAGCTGGGTGGTGGTGTAGCTGGGTGGTGGTGTAGCTGGGTGGTGGTGTAGCTGGGTGGTGGTGGTGTGGTGTAGCTGGGTGGTGGTGTAGCTGGGTGGTGGTGTAGTGTGGGTGGTGTGGTGTAGCTGGGTGGTGGTGTAGCTGGGTGGTGGTGTAGCTGGGTGGTGGTGTAGCTGGGTGGTGGTGTAGCTGGGTGGTGGTGTAGCTGGGTGGTGGTGTAGCTGGGTGGTGGTGTAGCTGGGTGGTGGTGTAGCTGGGTGGTGGTGGTGGTGTAGCTGGGTGGTGGTGTAGCTGGGTGGTGGTGTAGCTGGGTGGGGTGTAGCTGGGTGGTGGTAGCTGGGTGGTGGTGTAGCTGGGTGGTGGTGTAGCTGGGTGGTGGTGTAGCTGGGTGGTGGTGTAGCTGGGTGGTGGTGTAGCTGGGTGGTGGTGTAGCTGGGTGGTGGTGTAGCTGGGTGGTGGGTAGTGGTGGTGGTAGCTGGGTGGTGGTGTAGCTGGGTGGTGGTGTAGCTGGGTGGTGGTGTAGCTGGGTGGTGGTGTAGCTGGGTGGTGGTGTAGCTGGGTGGTGGGTGGGTGTAGCTGGGTGGTGGTGTAGCTGGGTGGTGGTGTAGCTGGGTGGTGGTGTAGCTGGGTGGTGGTGTAGCTGGGTGGTGGTGTAGCTGGGTGGTGTAGTGGGTAGCTGGGTGGGTGTAGCTGGGTGGTGTAGCTGGGTGGTGGTGTAGCTGGGTGGTGGTGTAGCTGGGTGGTGGTGTAGCTGGGTGGTGGTGTAGCTGGGTGGTGGTGTAGCTGGGTGGTGGTGTAGCTGGGTGGTGGTGTAGCTGGGTGGTGGTGTAGCTGGGTGGTGGTGTAGCTGGGTGGTGGTGTAGCTGGGTGGTGGTGTAGCTGGGTGGTGGTGTAGCTGGGTGGTGGTGGTGTAGCTGGGTGGTGGTGTAGCTGGGTGGTGGTGTAGCTGGGTGGTGGTGTAGCTGGGTGGTGGTGTAGCTGGGTGGTGGTGTAGCTGGGTGGTGGGTGTAGCTGGGTGGTGGTGTAGCTGGGTGGTGGTGTAGCTGGGTGGTGGTGTAGCTGGGTGGTGGTGTAGCTGGGTGGTGGTAGCTGGGTGGTGGTGTAGCTGGGTGGTGGTGTAGCTGGGTGGTGGTGTAGCTGGGTGGTGGTGTAGCTGGGTGGTGGTGTAGCTGGGTGGTGGTGTAGCTGGGTGGTGGTGGTCTAGCTGGGTGGTGGTGTAGCTGGGTGGTGGTGTAGCTGGGTGGTGGTGTAGCTGGGTGGTGGTGTAGCTGGGTGGTGGTGTAGCTGGGTGGTGGTGTAGCTGGGTGGTGGTGTAGCTGGGTGGTGGTGTAGCTGGGTGGTGGTGGTGTAGCTGGGGTGGTGGTGGTCTAGCTGGGTGGTGGTGTAGCTGGGTGGTGGTCTGGGTGGTGGTCTAGCTGGGTGGTGGTGTAGCTGGGTGGTGGTGGGTGGTGGTGGTGTAGCTGGGTGGTGGTGTAGCTGGGTGGTGGTGTAGCTGGGTGGTGGTGTAGCTGGGTGGTGGTGTAGCTGGGTGGTGGTGTAGCTGGGTGGTGGTGTAGCTGGGTGGTGGTGTAGCTGGGTGGTGGTGTAGCTGGGTGGTGGTCTAGCTGGGTGGTGGTGTAGCTGGGTGGTGGTGTAGCTGGGTGGTGGTGGTGGTGTAGCTGGGTGGTGGTGTAGCTGGGTGGTGGTGTAGCTGGGTGGTGGTGTAGCTGGGTGGTGGTGTAGCTGAGTGGTGGTGTAGCTGGGTGGTGGTGTAGCTGGGTGCTGGTCTGGCTGGGTGGTGGTCTAGCTGGGTGGTGGTGTAGCTGGGTGCTGGTCTGGCTGGGTGGTGGTGTAGCTGGGTGGTGGTCTAGCTGGGTGGGGGTGTAGCTGGGTGGTGGTGTAGCTGGGTGGTGGTGTAGCTGGGTGGTGGGTAGTGGTGGTAGCTAGCTGGGTGGTGGGGTGTAGCTGGGTGGTGGTGTAGCTGGGTGGTGGTGTAGCTGGGTGGTGGTGTAGCTAGCTGGGTGGTGGTGTAGCTGGGTGGTGGTGTAGCTGGGTGGTGGTGTAGCTGGGTGGTGGTCTAGCTGGGTGGTGGTGTAGCTGGGTGGTGGTGTAGCTGGGTGGTGGTCTAGCTGGGTGGTGGTGTAGCTGGGTGGTGGTGTAGCTGGGTGGTGGTGTAGCTGGGTGGTGGTCTAGCTGGGTGGTGGTCTAGCTGGGTGGTGGTGTAGCTGGGTGGTGGTCTAGCTGGGTGGTGGTGTAGCTGGGTGGTGGTCTAGCTGGGTGGTGGTGTAGCTGGGTGGTGGTCTAGCTGGGTGGTGGTGTAGCTGGGTGGTGGTGTAGCTGGGTGGTGGTGTAGCTGGGTGGTGGTGTAGCTGGGTGGTGGTGTAGCTGGGTGGTGGTGTAGCTGGGTGGTGGTGTAGCTGGTTGGTGGTGTAGCTGGGTGGTGGTCTAGCTGGGTGGTGGTGTAGCTGGGTGGTGGTGTAGCTGGGTGCTGGTGTAGCTGGGTGCTGGTGTAGCTGGGTGCTGGTCTAGCTGGGTGGTGGTGTAGCTGGGTGGTGGTGTAGCTGGGTGGGGGTGTAGCTGGGTGGTGGTGTAGCTGGGTGGTGGTCTAGCTGGGTGCTGGTGTAGCTGGGTGGTGGTCTAGCTGGGTGCTGGTCTAGCTGGGTGCTGGTCTAGCTGGGTGCTGGTCTAGCTGGGTGCTGGTCTAGCTGGGCGGTGGTCTAGCTGGGTGCTGGTCTAGCTGGGTGGTGGTGTAGCTGGGTGGTGGTGTAGCTGGGTGGTGGTGTAGCTGGGTGGTGGTCTAGCAGGGTGCTGATCTAGCTGGGTGGTGGTCTAGCTGGGTGGTGGTGTAGCTGGGTGGTGGTGTAGCTGG